GAAACAACGAAGACAAAGATTTTTTATATTTAAAATAGTAAAAATCTAGACGATAATTTTGGTTTAATTCGGATAGAATATAAAATATGGATTTAAAAAAAAAATAATAATATTGTACATCGCGAGTCTTTAATAAAATTGAAATTAATATGGAGATTTTTTATTGCAATTTATAAAAAAATGAATACATATGTTTTGTAATAATTCATATTTACAATGAATATAAAACATATATGTAATTCTACATTCAAGATCGCAATCGAGACAATGATAAAGTATCGGATGTCAAATGCAAGCGTGTTGTGATACGTGAGAATGTTGCCTAAAATTTTTTCCAAGCAGGAAATGGGCTCTAAATTCATCATCAAAGTCAGAGTTGTTCTCAGCCATTACACATCTCATTTCAATATTAATCGTTTTTTTATCTTATTCGAAATTCAGAAACGGGTTTCGCTTGTTTACCGGTACCGCGCGTATCAATTAACACAGACATGATATATATGGAAAAGTATCAACAACGCATTATCATAGATACACCGCGCGGTCAACGAACTTTCGGGTCTTCTCTTTACCCACAGCTTGATTTTAGAATCATTGAATAATACACGGCCGTTCGTCTCTCGTGAAAGTGGTACTGTTAGCTTTTACGTCCTTACTAAAAGCGGAGAGACCTTCCTTCCTCTCTTTTACTCTCCGTGCCGTATTTGATTTCACTTTGAATTCTAATGCTGGTGCTCTCTCGGCTGCTGCCTCGCGCGCAGACCGTCTCGAACGTCTTCTAAGACCACTCGAGGAAGACATAGGATCTGTTTGGTCATCACGATCGCGACCGGCGGAGCACCGGTGGCCGAGCAGAGGAATATAAACGTGGGCGGTAGTTTACATAGAACTTTGAATCGTTTGGAGTCTCGTTCGCGATGGCTCTCGCCGGCCGAGAGTAGTAATTCAAATCGACAGTAGCATCCATTTGGTCGAGGGGACCCCTCTCCATCGAGATATCAATCAGTGATTTATAACTGGCTGCCGGAATGCGTGCGGACATGCCGATGTCTCCTCCGACATCATCGATATCCATTATTGCGAACTTGGTTCGCTGGATCTGATTCCGTCGCTAGTGAGCTCAGGTTAACAGAGCTCATTGTCAGTGTGGTTCGATAATCACATTCATAAAATTAAAAAGTGTTGAGAACGGCGGTCCTCAATCAATCAAATTAAAAGGAATAATTAGCTCATTTAATTTCATTTAGGTAACATAATCCGAACATTGTAGTTCATGACAGGAATGTTGTATGCTAAATTATATTCTAAAGGAGTTATTCTTAACGATCGGGACCTAAAGGAGAGCCTCACGTCATTGTTACATAACACTTGGATCATTTTGATTAGATACGTTCCCGAGGATGAAAGGAAAAGGGAGGAAGATGCGTTCCACGATCCTTTGAAATTATATCATCGGGCAGGTAACCTTAGAAACGTTACATCCCAGACGATTGGCACTTTTTTTATTTGGAGGCTGCACGCTTGGTTCAGTCCGTCGGGACCAGTCAAATCGGTTTAGAATGTCCTTGGTGGAATATCGGGGCCAATCTCGATGAGCCCTTCTGCTCGACCATATATGTTTACTCACACGTCAGTTCTCTTCTCGAGGCTACTTCAGCCGAGTAGTCAAAACTGCGAACAGACTAAATAAGTATTATATAAAAGTATGTAGCTTTAATTTTTTTTATTTATATCCCGTATTGTAGTTTTGTAGTTGCAACAGTTTATATTATTTTAAAAATACATTATTTTTTATAAGTACATATAAGAAGTGTATTCCAGAAAAGGGGTTTACATTAATTTGAATTAAAATATTTAAACTTTGTGCATGTTTATTGTTACACGCATTGTATCTTTTTGTCATTTTAACATAATTTTCTATTAAATTGGTTCTATATCGAAAACAAATCATGACGTTTCGCGGAAAACCGTCGAACGTTTAGATGCTTGGACGCTGATACCTTTTAACCCTTGCGATTTTCTGCACGACCCGGAGGAGCCAAGACCAAGTATAGGCCCGCGCATTGTAACAATGCATCATCTTGTCGCGCTGGGAGGTTCGGTGCTTCAAGGCTGCCTGAACCTGCGCGACTCCGGCCGCAGAATACAATGGACGGTTCAGGCGTAGCGTCGTCGGTTCAATGCTTACATTATGACCATCCCCGTGGCTTGGCACATGTAACGATACTTATCCTCGCGGGGCTTTGTCTCACGTGAGAGAAGAGCCGAGCGGGAGGGGCGGACGATGGGAGTAAAAATTAGCGTGTATTAAGACTCGCTCGAGAAGTAGTCCGACAAAGTGATCCTTGAATCCATCAATGAGTTCTTTCAAGCCTATCGAGATCTTTTCTATAGATCTTTCTACAGATTGTACGTTCCGATAATTCTTGCGTCAAATACGTGTTTCTTGTTACTTTGTCCGTGCGTGCGATGATCCCTTTTATTGAATCTTAATAAAATATCTAACAAAACATTTTTAATAAAAAAACATTTTTAATGTAACGTAATATACTTTAGTGAAGAATTTCAACAAACTATACGATTATTATTAAATTTCCCCTCTTCAAGTCTGCACTCACATTTGCCGTAGTGCGCGTTGTATTATGCAACGAAACAGCCAGCTGTTGTTAACTTTGTACGCGCTGCAGACATTTCACACATCATCTGTATTTGCCGCGACAATCGTATCATAAAACATAAACTTTTCGCAGATTTATCAATAAATCTACAAGCTCACGGTATCGTTACATACGCTCGCAATCTAGCCGACATATTCGAGACCCCTCGCGACCGATCTTAACAGCGCTCGGAGGTTCCCGAGCGGTACATCGCGACCGGCGTTGCTCTTTGCGGGGACGCTGCTCTTCGTCTTGCGGGAGAGCGTCGTGACTCCGAGATCAAGCACGGTGCATCGTATACATTCGTGTATCTCTCGGGGCGCATCCGCGCCTTTATGTAACGCGCGCGATCGGGACACGTGGGCTCATTAGCCGCGGCATTTACCTGCCGGAAGACGATCGCCGTGTAAATTATCGGCGTGTGCACACCCGCCGATCTGTTCGCGATCGGTCGACCAAAGGGATAGGTCGCAGCAGCGCTCCACGGGGGTCAACCGAGGTAGCGGTACCGGTGCCGGTCCTTTCGCGAACGGTTTGACGATTTAATAAGCGAGTAGCGATGAATAAATATGTGTACATCTTATTTGATGCAGTTCTAATCAACGTTATGAATTAATTTCTCACATTGCTCAGATATTATTTTTTGTCGGAGTATTTTGCGAGATGTATAATCTTATAAATCTCATAAAACGCATATTTGTTATTTATATCGATTATTTAACTAATCAATATTACAACTATTTTATTTCATTTCGAAGAAATATATCGAAAGATATCTTTACGCTGAATTTTGTCAAAACTTGCAATATTCTAGAAATTTATAATATTGATAATATTTTATAAATAAAAAGATAGTTATATATTTTTTATACTATTTCTATAAATTTTCTGATACTTATTTTCTTTTTGGCGATAAATCTGTAAGACAAATTAATTGATTGCATCGAAGTCGAGAATAAGACCGATAAAATTATTCGTTGTAACACGATTTCGGAGCGTTTGTTTGTGAACAACAAGCATAAAACGTTGAAATATAGTCGGAAGTTTGTTAATATATAACGTCGCAGCAAGGTGCCAACCTTTCTCGCGCAATCAAGGTTCAACGTCCAAGTGGGAGCTTGGTTACAACGACGTATGACGCCGTAGATCGCCTTCGGCGCTGATTATTGACCGTGGGTCTTGGTCGCGCCGCGGCGGAATGACATCCTGCGAAAGAATCGCGATGAATTTCCTTCGATAAGCGCTGAGGAGTTGGGTTACAATTTGCATGGCCAAATTACGCATACAAAAGGTCCTGCCGGGCTTAGGCAGCAGATAATACCCTGCGAAGGACCTCGTGAACGTATCGCGCTGTCCCGATCTCTATTTCGACTTGTCCCGATATAAGTTGTCATTATTTATCTTGTATACGATCAATCTAGTTGTTCCGAATTAATTTGTTACGCGGCTTTTCGTGAGTCATTTCAGACACGTGCATCGCTATTGAAATACTTCAGATTTAATTTCAGATTTAATTCTGATTTAATCGGAATCAATTAAATCAAAATTAAATCTAAAATTGTATGTAAAAAATTTATTTAAAAAAACGAAAATTACACCGCGTTTATAATATATTTATATCCATATCAAGGATATTTACCGATAATAATTTTTACATTGATACGTTGATGGAATTATTGCTATGCGCTTATGTAATATGTGACGACATCCAGACGCGGATAATCCATTAATCAATTCCGCAACATGGCGAGACTCAGATAGCTGGTCTGCTCGTGTAACGTCAGCAGTCGGTTGCCAGAAGTGTCGTATTCTCAGGCATTAAGAACATTTTACATTCTTAACTTTTGAAAGGCAGCTTTGACGCATTTTCGACGTGCTTCCCACCGCGGCCTTCTTCTTGATTACCGACGTGCGAGACGCTAGGAGCGCGGGTAAATGGCGCTTATAACGGCAATGAACTTTGCCGGAGCGCGAATATTTTTCCCACCTAATCTAAAACCGGTCTTCTCTGCGTGCGTGCGCGGTATATCGCTCGATCAAAGCAAGTATTCGGACACTGAATTTGTTCGCAGACAACGACCAATTCTTGATCTTATTTAATAGCGCTAACATATCTATCGAACACGATATTACAGATAATTCAGTCAGTGCACGTCTTTCTGTATTTATTTTAATTGATAATTTCGATTACTAACGTAATTCTCTTCATTATACATCAAAGAACTCAAATATCTGCGTTATACAAAATTTATAGCATTAGTAATAACAATAATATAAGGGTATTAAAAATATTTAGGAACAAAAATTAAATTATTTTAAATACATAGATATTATTTAATAAAATCGACGAAAGAGATTACAACAATTATCGATACATGATTGTGTATGAGAAACAGTGAAGTGAGTCTTCCACTGACTCAAATGTTTCGCTATTTATATCCTGCTACTTAAATAATACCCGTAGTTGTTGGATAGTCTTGCATATTCCAATTTTCGTTTCCTTATTTTTTTTTCAACATATTTTGTTATTTCAATTTGCGTTTTCGATGAATATTTGGTTATCTGAAACAAATTATTTCAATAATATCAATACATATAGATCTCTACATTGCAATTTGATAGAGCACAGTGCATAGTGAATGTATATAATTTACATAAAATATGTCATATATGTAATAAATATATGTAGACATAAAGCTTTATATTTAGATATCAAGAAATGAGTGTAATAGTGTAACGTGCAGAAAGTATACCTCACGCATGTGCTTTTTCTCGTGCACATGTGTAATAATTACAATTAATGTTGCAATGATGTCACTTCTCCTACAAAAACACAGTACAAAGTAAAAAACTGATAAATTTAATAGTTGTGACAAATATTAATAATTAATTATTATAATATATATAAATGATTAAGAAATATATACAGAGACGTATATTTAAAGAAAAATGTTGTTACCTATTTGAATCGAAAGTAACTTTTTCAACAATACTGAAAACAAAATTATACAGTTCAACTTTTTTTGCATGTTTTGCAACACTAAAAAAAAATGCATTAACATATTTGGGCTGAGCTCTGCGCTGTATTAATTCCGTTAAATAATGGCGAATGATAGCAAGATCTTCAGAGCAAGATAGGTATTCTAAAAATCTTTCATCAAACGTTGCATTCCATTTCTTCCATATCTCGTTCCAAATAGCGTGGTTCATTGGTATTAAATTATGACAGTATGTTCGTTTCATCTCCATCGAATTTCTGCATTACAAAAAATATCTTATTGCTACAAATTTGCTTACATTTTGAAATTTTAATAATAAAATAATTTATTCAGCATGATACAAAAATACAACATTCTAATTAAAGAAATTTTATACTTGTAAAGTAGCTTACGAGTTGTTTTCAGAATATTTAAACTTTTCTAATAATTTCGAAGCAGCATTCTTTCGGCACTCAGAAATACCAAGAATACATGCCCATTTTACAGCTTCTTGTCTTAAATATATAGTGAGAGTATGGTCTGTTGGTTCGTCAAAGTATCCTATTTTTGTAAGAAGTCCATCTATTCTGTTATTCATTGCTTCCTAAAAAATTGTTGAACTTAAATTTATCACTGTTTATTTTCATTTATTTAATATATTTTATTTTATTTAGTATGTAAAATGTAACTTTTTTATGTAAATTTATCATTACCTACCATTATCAAATTACCATATTCAAGTGGAAACATACAAGTAAAAGATTCGAAAACTTTAATCATAGGATTCCATGTAACAAAATTAGTGTCTCGTATTACGAAGTTCGTAAGATTCCAAAACAAGTTGTATCTGAGTTGTTTTTGTACAAAGAAGTAAAATGCGTCATCGATGATTTGAGCACGATTAAGAATATGTATTTTGTTATAATCATCGGAGTTTAAGTATCGCATAAGCTGTTGCCAGTTTCCAACATCATAATTGGCGCGATAGTATCCTATCGTACAGAGGAATAAATGTTTTGATCATTAGAGATTTCTTAATCAAGAATTTATTAAAGAATCCACACAACAAAAGTTCTATTTGTATCTAAATACTTTTTTAAATTAATTACTCTTGAATAAATTATTTTAAAGAATTTGTGTAGAACATGTTTATAGCAAATTATTAATTCTTTATTCTCCTTAAGTAAACAATTAACTTAAAAAGTTTAAGTTGAGCAAGAACTTTTGTAAAATTTTAAAATAATTATAATTAGATATATTAATATATTTACATTTATTTTGAATAATATTTAAAGATTATAAATAGAAGGTAAAAAAACAAGTTGTAAATATTTATAATTACACAGTCAGGGTCGATAATTTTGGTCTTTTATTATGTTATCAAGATCATAGTATTGACTAATGTCCTAAAAGTTTTAGATGTCGCTCATTGTTCATTAAAAAATTTTAAAGAACAGTTCAAAACATTGTACGTTGAAATAAGCAAACCTGCAATAAGTACGTTAACAATACATGGTGTTCGAAAAGTACGTATAATTTAGAAAAATTAATTAGGAAAATTAATAACTTTAAGGTTAGTTAGTAAAGTTAGTTAAAAACTATGGTTTTTATAACAGAAAAACATTAAAACACTCGAGCTTAACAGTGTGTAATTATAAATATTTATCAAATAAATTTATAACATTAAACCACATATAATGGAAAGGCTCCATATGTTTTTAACAAACGAGAATTAATGAAAATGGCGATAAGAGCCGTTGCAGGATGTTAGTGCTAAATTTTTTAATTTTTCTTAAAGAAATTAGTAAATTAGTCTACAAGAGACAGTTAAAATGTACACCGATCTCAAATCAAGATACTTAAAGTGTACGAAATTTATAGTACATTGTTCTCATATATCGAGAAACTTTAATGTACGTATAGGAATTATTGTAAAGAAAGGAAGAGAGAAAAAATATCAGGGCGCGAGTGGCTAAGCCGGGAATTGAACCCGGGTCTTCCGCTTGCCGGGCGAATGTTCTGACCATTAAACTACTCAGACCCCACGCTTCTAACATTTATCTCTCCTAGATTAGGAAATCAACATTGCTGTAGGACATAAACGCGTCATAATGCCCACGTGATTTAAAACATTAAACCACATATAATGGAAAGGCTCCATATGTTTTTAACAAACGAAAATTAATGAAAATGGCGATAAGAGCCGTTGCAGGATGTTAGTGCTAAAA